GGAGAGTAACAATGGTCTTAAATTTATTTCATTTGTACACAATTTGTCTGATTTTGGATTGGTGGAGTACAAACTCTTTAGAGATTGTTTTAAAACCTTTTCCTGCCTGAAGAGCATCAACAACTCTTTTTCAGAGGTCCTCAGAAATCTCCTTTGTTCATGCCATGATACACTTCCACAAACATGTGTTGTGAAGATCAGACTTTGATTGACCCGTTCTTCAATTAAAACAATGCGCTCGATCGCTCGGTCACTCACTCACACACACACACACACACACACACACACACACCTGTAATCCTGTTGATTGAAAACACCTGACTCGAATTTCAAACAAAAAATGCAGTCTTTACAGGTGAAACCTGGGTTCAAACCAAGAGCGAATAAACAATCAATATAACAAGACACAAGAAACAAGAAACACCGGTCAGTCACATGTTCCAATATTTCTGATCACTTGAAAAATGGGTGGTTTCAAACAAAAGATACCATGTCCTAAGTTGTTTACCAAATCTAGACATTGTCTCATTGATTTGTTTTTATTTTTTTCATCTCAAACCCAAATGTCTTCAGTGTATAGCAAAAAAACAAAATAATTGGCCCTGTGGTTCTAATACTATATGTATACAGAAATATGCTATCATAATGAAGCCTTTTGGTCAGTCATACTACTACAGTGAATCACTGCATCAGTCTCACCTTGTTTCTGAAAGATTGCCATAATCCTTACAAAGTGCATTGCAGATATTCTTTACCCACTGTTGGAATCATTCATTGCGTGTTGTTTCTTAAGTGAAAAATGGCAAAACTTCCAAAACAGTGAATCAGCTGCGAGTGTGGCCACATTATCAGACTTTTAAATCCCAATGGTCTGTCCTATGTATACGTTTCAACTTATATATTTATATATATATATATATATAAATATATTACTGATGCACCTGGTTGAAAAGTACTACCACGATGTGCATAATAAAAAAAAGTAAAGATGACATTGAAAAGGAAGTGCCTTTTTTGTTATGTGTATGATTTATTACTGCACGTTAGGTACAGCTTATCCCTTCCTCGGAGTGCACGATCAGTGTAACAGACAAATAGCTCATCATAAATATCTTTAAATAACATTAGAAGTCCACCTTTTAAATAACATCACAAGTCCATGAATTTACTGCACTGACTAGCGGACAACTTTGAAATCCTTGAAGTCCGCGTTTTCAATTTTCTTCTCGTTACTGAAATCAACTTTTAAGATCCGGGACTGTGGACTGCCGGTGGTCTTGAGCCAATCCTGCATCTGTCTGACTTTGGACGCAGGGCCTTGGAGCTGACCCTGTACCGTTCCAGCCCGAGTGTTCTGCACCCAGCCAACCAAACCCAACTTCTTCCCTTCAGACTGAAAACACACACAAATGACAATGACAGATTACTAACGCTTTAGACCAGTGGTTCTTAAAAGGGCGGGTCCGAAAACCAAAGCCAGTCCAATCTAGAACAGTCCACTATTATCAGAAAGGTATTATATTTATTATTGAGTAATTATAGTGGTTAGGCTGTTTGATTTGTAACTTGAATTTAAGCCAAATCTGAGTAACAAAAACATGGGGGGTCCCAGTTAAATTTATTTTACAGATAAAGGGGTACAAACAATATTTAAGAACCCCTGGTCCAGATCAATAATGATAGCTATAAATCCAACATAGGCGTGATATTACACCATTAATCTTACCTGTGTATACTTTCGAAAAAATACTCCCTGGACCTTCCCATACACTTCATAATCTACTGCCAGCAGCTCCTCTGTCGACATGGTTACGGTCTGGATGGAGGAGACATTTCTATATAAATAAGGCTCATCTAAACCCGCTAACACAACATGCTCATGCATTAGCAAGCTAGCACGATAACGTGGAAGTCGATTGCGATGTGCTACTCGTGCTTGCAAACGCTACCTCTCAGTCGCCGACGAGTTAAAGTAAATCAAACTACAGACGATCAGCGAACACATTAAACACAGAATTGTACCTTCAAGAGCAACAGAAGCAGGATACAGGCTCAGAAACAGTACTGTTTTTATTCACCGGCTGCAGGAAAACATCCTCCAGCCACGGCTGGCTGGTGTGTTTGGTAACGTAGGGATAGGAGCCGAACTGAGCGAGTCGATTCTCCGGTTCCAACAACTGGGAATCGAGTGTGGACGTCAAAGAGTCGATTCTCATTTTCCAATAGCTGGGAATCGAGTGTGGACGTCGAAGAGTCGATTCCAGACTTTTCCTTCGGGTTCGCGCAAAATGACTTATCGTGGATATTATTTACTCTCCAAAATACACTGCTAACTAAAATGTCGGTTCTAAAGAGTATTAAGTTAATAAACGTCAAGATTCATTTATATTTATATAATACGGGTATTTATTATTTATATAGTATACATTACATCGTACTGTTGCTTATTACACTTATAGTGACTTATAACGTTCTCATTTCTTTTACAATAATCAGTTACTATCCTGTTTTTGCACGCAAGAGTCGATACACGTTTTGTGTTAAATCGACTATTGGACTAATATCGATCCAAGTTCTGATCTGAAAATCGGAGTCGAATCTCTGGAATCGAGCAACCCAAGGAAGACTCTGCCCACATGCGCGTCACGTCAACGTGAGATCTCACTAACGAATCAAGTAAGTGCAAGGAAGTCACGTTTGTTTTCTTGTCTCTAGGCAACACGTATCAACAAATGATCTGCATTATAACAATCAAGTCGGAGAGTTAACTAGTTAGGTTTTTTTTAAGCAGGTCTTGTTTAGACAGCATCGGGATGTCTCTCCTGGGGAAATTGTGAAATGAAAGACAAAATGCAACCATCTGTGAAGCTACAGCGTTACGGTAAGTTCAAGAAAATATACAGCAGTTGATACAGCAGAGTCAAGAAAAAGTGTCCTAACATTAACTTAATTATTTGAATAGAGCTGAGCAGAAGTGGTTTTTATTCTGTCTTTATCATTACGGGAAATATTGCAGTGACTGTCAGTATGTTGCAGCTACAAATTATGCACCATGTTGACCCTATCTTTTTTTTCTCTTTCAAGAAAGGGGTCATATTCCACCACTGAGATTGCAGGGAGACAAGGAGAGAAAAGGAGAAGCTATGAAAGACTGCCAGCAGGACATTTTCCCTTATAACAATTGGCCGAATCCCGTCCAAAGGAGAGAGAACTCTGTCACAGCCAGCCGCAAAATATATTCTGAGGCCAGTAAGAGGAGACTGGAGAAACATGATAGGAGTAAATTAGAGTATTCTGATACTGACTCCAAAGAGCCATCCCGAGAAAGAGGTGAAACCAATTGCAAATCACTCAACGAGTACCAGATATTACACCAGGACGAGCGCAGACTTTATGAAAATGAGATCCGACTGACAAAAGGAATACACAAAAGGAAAATTTTATTAGAAGAAAAGCTGTTAAATGCAGCAGAAAGAGTGAGGAAGCTTCAACTGAGCACTGCATCTGAGGACCAGGTGAAAGAGGAGCAAAAGGACACGGGGAAAGCAGAAAACAGGTTATATTATACAGGGAAAGGAAACTGGGACTGGGAGATCGCCAGAGACAGGGCTGTAGGAGGCAGAAGACATGAAAGACGAGAGGAAGGCAGTAACTGTGTTAGAGTGAAAGATGGTATAAAAAGACAGGAGACTCGTGTGAAAGAGACTAATGCTAGTCAGAAAGAGAAATTGGGAGAAGAAACAGAGTGGGAGAACAGGGGAAGAAATACCCAGAGAACCACAAGAACTGTGGAAAAGGAATGGGACCATTTTGAAGAAATGACAAGGCATAAGACGGAAAGGGTAAGAACTGAAAAAGACCAGACAAGGAGAGAAAGAGCGATGGATTGGCAAATGAATGAGATGAGAGAATGGGACCAGAGAGATTGGCAGGAAGAGGAAAAGGAGAGAGTGAAATATGGTGAAAAGAGAAGACGTGAACAAGCAAAACTTAAAAGAGACATAGATATGGACAATGAAGATCAGCAATGGGACCTAACGGACAACTTTGCTTCAAATTCACATATTAAAATGAAAGCTGTCTCCATCCATTTGGCAACTCCAGAGAGAGTGCATCATTACAGTAACAGAGTTGAAAAGGAGATGCCTCGCACAATGCCACCATCTGAAGCTGCTCCAAGCACTCAGAATGGTAAAATGCACCAGGAAGTGCAGCTCAGTCCAGAAAGTAGTCCTTATGCTGATGTCCAACTTGTACCTTGTACAATGTGTAAGAGACGTATGAGAGGAGAAATTCTGGACAAGCATATCAGACTTCATCACACAAACAAAAAACCCACACGTAAAGCCTACACCATGTCAGAGTACCGGGCCAAAGGCACAGAGCTAGAGAAGTTTCTGAGCTTAAAAGACAAATAACATCACCAGAGGTAAGATTACAGTGTTTTAAAAGTAGCAGCTGCTACCATTATACGCAAACTAATTGTTGCAAGATTAAGATCTCAGCATGGTAGAATGAAAGTACGGTCGTGTGAAAAAGTAAGTACACCCCATGGAAATTGTTGGCTTTTTGACATATTTGGACAAGCAAACATTTGATCCTCTTTGAAACAGTGCCTATTAATAAAGTTGATACACACTGTCAAATGACAAAATTTACATTTTGTAGAAATTTTCAGTTTAAATGAATAAAAAAAAACCCAGATCAATCACATGGAAAAAGTAAGTACACCCCTACATTTATCACACCTTCAAATCCATAAAACTAGAATCAGGTGTTAAAGATTGGGTGTCCGTGATCAGAACCTGCTTATGGAGTACAGGTGAGAACCGTCTTATTTATACACCGCTCACATCTATCTGGTGTACCCTTTGCTATTGAGGTGTGTGGTGTCATCATGTCAAGATCAAAAGGCCTTCAGAAAAAAAGCTGTGGCTGCCTGAGTTTGGCAATGGATTTAAAAACATCTCCAAATTATTTATCACTGTAAGGAAAATAGGGCACACAGTGGCTTAGTGGTTAGCACGTTCCTCATGTACTTCACACCTCCAGGGTCGGGGGTTCGATTCCCACCGTGTGTGTGGAGTTTGCATGTTCTCCCCCTGCTGCGGGGTACTTCAGTATCCTCTCCCACTAATGCATGGTAGGCTGATGGGCATGTCCAAAAGTGTCTGTAGTGTATGAATGGGTATGTGATTGTGCCCTGCGATGGATTGGCACCCTGTCCAGTGTGTACCCCTGTGCCCAATGCTCCCTGGGATAGGCTCCAGGTTCCCCGCGACCATGAAGGAAGGATAAGCGGTATAGAAGATGGATGGATGTAAGGAAAATAATCTACAAATGGCACACAACTGCCAATTTGTCTAGGACGGGCCATCTCAGCAAATTCAGCCCTAGAGAAAAGTCTTCAAGAACCCAAAAATTTCATCACCTGATCTGCTAGTTGGTGTCAAAGTACATACTTCTGCAATCAGAAAGAGATTGCACAAATTTGACCTGCATGGGAGGCGTGCCAGGAAAAAGCCTTTGCAAGACTAGTTTGCCAATGACCATATAGCAGACATGTTTGACGCAGACCAAAGACATCTTTTCTGTCCGAAAGCTGAACCGAAAGTGGATCTTTCAACAGAATAATAATCCTAAGCATACTAGCAAATCCACCAAAGAATGACTCAAAAATAAGAAATGGAGGGTTATGTAATGGCCTAGAAAAAGTCTGGATTTGAATCCCAATGAAATCTTGTGGGGGTATTGAAACGGGCAGTACATGCAAGAGAACCCTCAAACATCTTGCAGTTGAAGAAATATTGCATTTAAGAGTGATCAAAATTCCAGTGAGCATGGTGGACAATTATGCAAAACACCTACAAGAAGTTATTTCTGCTAAAGGGGTCAATACTAGCTTCTGAGGCCAACGGTATACTTACTTTTTCCACAGAAGAATATCACATCTATTCATATTTCTATTGAATAAATGACTGAAAAAGCTAATTTTCATTGTGTGTTTGTTCAGGTATATCAACTTTATTAATAGGCACTGTTTCAAAGATGATCAAATGTTTGCTGTCCAAATACGTAAAAAAAAAAAGACAACAATTTCCATGGGGTGGGTGTACTTATTTTTTCCATCTGTAGACCAGACACCAAAGCAATTTATCATTACAGGTTGGTTTTAACACCTGTAATAATTTAACCACTGTACTGCTTACATCAGAATACATTTGTTTTTGGCCATAAAATCTTTGGTGTAAACTTATCAATGTAGAAAAGCACTGAACATGTATCTGAAAAATATGAAAATCTCAATAAAATCAAAGAATATAGAAAGCAGAAACATTATATACCATCAAAGTCTGCATAACCCGCTTTAGAAGTTAAGAAGGCACTTAATGGCATTGCATTATTTATATATTATATATATATATAATTTTTTTTTTGTTTGCAGGCTACAGCTTATGGTTTGCACTGAAGATGCTGGCATTTTACTGCCAATCATCAAAAAGGAGCGAACAAATACAGTTTATAGCTCCATGGGTAGAAAACGACCATCATGACAACAAAATACAAAAATAGAATTATGCAGTGTGCACACATGAACAGTAACACACACACACACACCCTTTGGTGTCACTGTACCTTTAAAAAAAAACAAAAAAAAACACACAACTTTTGATGTGCTCAGAGTATAGTTCCATTCACTTTTGCCATGAAAATTTTGATAACCATCTCATTAAAATGTTCTACAGGATTTTGTAATACAAAAAAATAAAGGAATAATGTATCCCAAAATAATTTTATGTCCTGATTGGGCTGTAACAGAGTACCCTATACACACAAAGGCACTGAAAACAAGCTAAAAAATTATAGTATAATATTTCCGAGATCCGGGGAATGGTGTTGCCAGCCCACCACAAAAAAAAAAAAATGTCAGCTGACTAGTTTTGTATGCTGCCTTCCCCCAAACAGTAACAAGGTGCTAGCAAGTGAAGAAAGGCAGGGTGGGAAATGGTATGCCCAAAACCTCAACAGCCTCACTGACTCAATCCTACATTCTTCAGCCTGTGACCAAAAAATCAAACAAATCCTGCCACCTTAACAGACATCAATTCTTTAAATGCAGTTAGAGGAATCAAGGAAGAGGCTTCTAAAACAAGAAAATACAGATAGATATGCGGAAGTCCCTTTTTGTACCATGTGAGGTATGCAGACATTTTTAAAATTGCATTATAATTATAGTCTTATTTTTTCAGATTAGGTCTCTAAAGGTTAGGACCCCCAGGATCTAAGGAGTTGCCTACAAACAAACAAGCATTTCAGACCAGAAGTCAGTTTTCCAAACGGGTTTTCTCAATTTTCTTTGCTAAGGTCAAGGCTTGCTCCATTGTTGTTTTTTTGTTGTTTTTTAAATCATGTTCTACATATCTTACAGATTATTTGTACAAGTAAGCAAAAATCAACTATTGCTCCTTTAAATGCTCCAGCTCCCACATAAAAACAAGCGATACAATAATTTGAAGTACTAAAACTGACTTGAGGGTACACATAGAAACTGAATAAAAAGCAATTGAAATGTACCTGACTTTCAGGCTGTGTATATGCAGATTCAAACCAGGTGGCAGAATTAAAGAAATGAGAAGCAGCCCAAAATTACCCAGATTTAGAAAGACTTGCATAAAGAACATCCAGGAGTAGGTCATTTCTCATTAGTGCCACCTGAACTATACAAAATACACCCCAACCACAAGAGGGAGACAATCATACATAATGTGAAAATCAGTAGTACATTCTTCATCACAGATTCTTGGATATGTGAAAACCATTCATATACACATTTGCACATAAAGGATGTTTTTTTCAATTTTTAAAATTATGTCTCATTAGTTGCAGGTGTCCATAACTCCAAAATAAACTATGAAATATATGAGAAATTACATATGAATATTGTTTTTGCATATCTATCTAAAGGCCCCATAATCCATAACCGATAAAATGAGATGTCTATGCATTTTCTCACAGAAAAACAACAGAAGACATTTTTGTGTAGAAATCCATACTGAAGATAATGGCACCACACGTGAAATAGCTTAAAGCTCGTCAGGTCAGGTGCTGTTTTGGCGTTAGGTTACCATAATCCAAACAGACATATTAAAAGATCTGTCGAGTCTTGAGCACTCCTGAACCTGAATTAATATTGTGGTTCAAGAGTAAAAAAAAAAACACACTGTTGTCTGACATGCACATAAAGACGTGATGTAGCAGGAATGCTGTGGCCAACCAATATAACCTTGTACTGATATAAGAAGAGAATAATTATTATCAAAAGGCAGCAAAAATATTTTGTGATGCACAGTCCTTTCCCTCATGCTGTACTGGCAGGAAGACTTGGGTCCAAATGACATATTTTTTGACTACCATCTTCCCCAGTCAGCTACTCACTGAGGAGGTATCAGTTCAGAGAAGATCTTTATCTGCACCCAGTTATAAAATCCGTGTGCAGTTTCATTCTCCCCCTCATTCTTTTTTATCATCAGGTAGACTCCCTTGGTGGTTGCACTCGTCACAATGATCAGATCCTTCTTTGAGGTCATTAATGGCTTTCCGCAGCCTCTCGTTCTCTTGGAGCTGGTCATTGTACTAAAAATTAAAAAACAGGCAGGTGTTTAAAACATTCCATTGTAATCCTATGGACCTTCTATGTAACAACGATGCCCCAAATATGTAACTGGCAATTCCCATCATTACTACATCCAATACTGCTCCATTTTTTCTGAAGTATTTCCTGCCACCTAGAGGACATATTAAACTTACAAGAAATGAAGGCAGACACTTATGACACTGCCTGGGCATGATGTTGAGTGCTCAGAAATACATAGACATGACTACAAACCAAGCATATCACACATTTGAAGGATGTGATTCAGGCTAATTTTTGTCTTACAGATACAGAAACTCACCTGTTTCTGTAACAGCTGGATTGTTGCGTCTTGCCTTTTCACCATTTCTTTGAGCTGCAACAGAAAATAAACACATTACTAAGCATGTAATATGAAAAACAAGTGAAATCGCTTAAAGGTATGACACTCTCCAATGCTTTTCTTGTACTTGTTTGGATATTTCCCCTTTCAAGAAGAACAAGCAGAATGACGGTGTCTATGGGGATGCCTCAGCCTCAAATCTAGACCTTGGTACTAATTTGTATCCCAGAAATAACCTTAAAATATATTTCAAACAGGAAGGAAGCTATTGAAGAAAAACTCAGAAATCTGTCCTTGTTAGGATCAATTCAAAAAGCTAATCATTTCATCTACTGGTTTCCATAGTAATTCCATATAAATCCTACAAACATTCAACCACTCGTTCTTGACACGTCACAATAACAGTAATCTTGGGAAACATGGACGGACGCACAGACAGACACGTGGATGCAACGACAGAAATTATACCTAGCCAAAAATGGGCCATGAGTTCCTGAACATGAACATGTTAATAACGTCTCTGTTGGACAAAACTCCCAAAATGTAATCAGTTCATCTGGATTCCATGATAATTCTCCATAAATCCTACAAACATTCACCAATTTGTACTTGAGCTATCGCACAAATGACAATCTTGGAGGGATGGACAAACAAATCACAATTCCTACACCTAATGGTGGAGGCATATTCAAAACATAGCATTACTGAAGTTATGTTTGTGTGAAACTCTTACCTGTGCAAGCTCACTGCTCGCTTGGCAGCAAGTCTGTTGTGCATGTTGTTGTGGCAGATGACTTTTCTTACAAGCTCCAGAGTCCACGCCATTTATGCTTTCATAGTCTACCCATACTGTTTGCTTACAAGATAATACAGCATATGTGAACAAGGTTAAAATTAATATACATTATTGTGTGGCTTTTTAAAAATGCTTTTAAAATCAAACAATACAAGAATCCTCAAGTCTAACAGAAGAGAGGTTCTAATTTTCCTATAGCCCTTACCATGAAGCCATTCCCACTAGCAGCAGCTGCAGCGGCTGCCTTTAGTTCTTGAAGCTCTTCATATGGGAGTGTGGCACGTTCTGTGAAAGATGTAGCCAGAGGGCT